ATGGTTACAAACTGAAGGTGGGAAAAGGTCCTTATTATGTTGCTTTTTCCCAAAACCAGAGATGAAATTCTTTGAAAGTCTTTTTCTCATTTTAACTGTCTCATTAAATCACTAAAGTTTCTGTGGGGGGGAATCTAGTTTTGTTCATGTATTGTGAACCAATGCACAATTTTTATGTTAAAGATACAGGATGAAACTTCAGCCCCATCTGCTGGTTCAAAGGGGACCTGCTCACCCCCCACCTCACCCCCAACAGATGAACATTAGACCACAGACCCATCTGAATTTTGTTCTTAGCTGTTGAAAAACATTAATAGCATAAATGACCAATTAATGATTATTCTGTGGTGCCCTGACCTCAGCTCAGTGACCTCTAGAGGTCCTTGGACCTCACTTTGAGAACCACAAAGTGATTTTTATAGCAGTATTTTGCCAGAACAAACAGATGTTAGGGTTAGACTCTGTACAGTAAAGGTCACCTTAGACTCTGGAAAACTGAACTAGCCACATTTAACAAATAACCAAGACATAGTTTAATCCATAGTTTAAATCTATAGAAGTAAAAAGTAACAATTTAAATTTTCCCAGGTTGTTATTTATCTTGTTCTGTTTGGGATTTGGACTGCTGGATGAAGAAAACAAGCACTTTGAAAAATCTTCTTTTTGAACAATGTCACAATTTAAAAGCTCTTTTGCTTAATAGTTCATTAACTGAGGAACTTAGAATGTACCTGTATTTTGAGTTTTTCTCATGTAAGTAAGAACCAAACTCTCCTATGTTGCATGGATCTGTGGTCTAATGTAAGTTATCTGTTTGACAACTTGATAAAAACTGACTTTCAGAAGTCACACTCACTGCACGGTGTACAGTTTACCCAGAAAAGTGTGCGTGTGTGGAGGGTGGGGATGGGAGAGAGAGACAGAGAGTGCTAAAGACAACAAAATGAATGACGGTGGAGGAGTACAACATGAAATCCGTCTCAGTGCAGAGTGCTGCAGCGCTAATGCAGAACTGACTGGACCTGTGACGTTCTGTAATATTTCCATTCATTGTTGATGGTCATTTGTGTTGTTTAGATTACCGTGTGTCCCAAATGCTAGATAGCTCTAATTTATTAGTCTGATGTGTGTGAAGGAAATGATTGTATGAGTGATGATGAATGCCAAAAAAAAGAAATGCTCCTAAAACTGATGTGTAGATTAAAGAGTACATGTTGGGGTTTTTTCAGTTTTTACATTGACAGACCTCCTCAAAGGACGTTGATAAAATACTGTAGATTTTGATTCATGTTGTGGAATTAAAAGTGTTGGATCTTGAACGTTGTGCACTGCTTTTTGACTGTGTATGAAGCCCTAAAACATTAACTGACTGCTGAAGAGTGCGCACGAGAGCGCAAAGTTCAACTAGGAAGAAATTAGTTGTTCAGTAACCTGATTTGGAAGTTCTTGCATTCACTAATAATGGCAGTATAGTGGATGTGTAACCATTTGCTGCCCTGTTTATGACAAATTTGTGGAAATACACAACTATTCTACGAAGTCTCACCTACTTCCTGCAAGAGGGTTTCCTTGAATAGATTGCTGATCTCTTGGAATGTGTTGTCACATTGTAGCACCACCCTACATCGTTAAACGTCACAACAAGACACCTATTCATTCTTCATTCATTCCTTCAGCCAGACATATATGTAAATATCAGATGCATGCGAGTAATTGTTACTGATAGCAAGCTGAAAATGCAGCACTTGACCTGAGGGACATTAGAATTTAACAGAAAAATAATGAAGTCCAATGTGTTAGAAGTAAACCATGTGTGGTTTGATGTGGCTTAGATACAGTGTTACAACAGTATTCAATGTATAATCAGGTACTTTTTGGGGGGTGAAAATAACTTTAGAGACAATACAGTTGACGGGAATGTCTCTCTTTAAATAATCCAGGAAGCTATCAGCTGACTAAAAGCAAGATACTGTACTATTGCTATTGTATAAATAAATCTACTATTGTATGAATTCTATCTGTTCACTTTCAATATGCACACAGTCCTCTTACACACACTGAAAGCATTTAGGCATGTAGACATGGTCAAGACCACCTACAGTTTAAAGCAACAGTAACTTCCATAACTGCTCATTACAGCGAAGGTGTGCAGAAGAGCAGCTTTCAACCTTGTAGGAGATGGGCTACAGTGGCAGAAGACCACACCAGATATCACTGCTGTCAGCTAAGAACAGGAAACTGAGGTTATGATTTATATGGATTACCAAAATTGGACAATTGCAAAATTAGGATAGTAGGGTCAGAACATAAACATGAAAGCATGGATCAGTCCTGCCTTGTATAAGAGGTTCAGGCTACTGGTGGTGTAATAGTGTAAGAAATTTATTTTCTTGGCACACTTTGGGTCCTTTACTGTCAACTGAGCATTGTTTAAATGCTGCAGCCTATCTGAGTATTGCTGATGAGCAAATCCATCTTATCCCACACCACATCACAAAAATCAAATCTCAGAACTGGTTTGTTGAACATCACATCACGGTAATCAAATGGCCTCCACAGTCACTGGATGTCAGTCCAACAGAGCACCTTTGGGATGCGGTGGTACAGGAGATTCACATCATGGATGTTCAGCTGACAGATCTACAGCAACCCTGTGATGCTGTCATGTCAACATGGACCAAAATTTCTGAAGAATGTTTCCAGCACCTTGTTGAATCTTTGCTATGTGGAATTCAGACAATTCTAAAGACAAAAGGGTCCAAACTGGTAGTAGTACTTTAGTGTCAAGTGAGTGTATATTGTTATGCTACTGAAAGCAACAAAGGATAGATTCAAAAGATGCATTTAACAAACTTTTGCCTATACTTGCAGTACAGTTAACAGAAATTTACAGAAAACAAGTGCTTTCATATGATCTTTAGACATTTATGCAATCAGAATGATTTATCTAACTCAAGAAAAACTTGTTTCAATTTCACCACTGACAAAAAGAGCCTCATATATATGTTTAAAATTTGAACTGATTCCAAAAAAAAAAAAAAAAAAAAAAAAAAAAAAAGTAGATAAACTGCTTAAACTGGTTTACAATTCAACCATGTAGCCACACCTGTTTCTCAGTGTACTCCTAGTGCGAAGTATCAGCTCTACTTTGGACTGCTTGCGTTCTGTGTGACGGTTAAAATCAAATTAAAATGTATTTATATAGCACATATTAAAAACAACAAAGTTGACCATAGTGCTTCACAGTCAGTAAAAGCATGAAACAATTAAAACAAAACAATAAGAAAACAGGGCAGGAAACCATAGGTGACAGCAGAACAAGCCAGATAACAGCCAACTAGTTAGAATCAAAAACCAAAGTACAAAGATATGTTTTAACACATGATTTAAAAGACTGGATAGAATCAGCAGTACGAATATGAACAGGGAGGTTATTCCAGAGTCTGGGTGCTACCGTTGCAAAGGCTCGGTCACACCTAGGTTGTGCTAGGAGCATCTGATTGGAAGATCTTAGTGCTCTATTGGGATTGTACAAATGGAGGAGTTCGGAAAGATAGCTGGGCGCCAAATTATTTATAATTTTAAAAGTGAACAAAAGAATTTTAAAATCTATGTATTTAACAGGGAGCCAATGTAAGTTGGCTAAAATTGGAGTGATGTGTTCATAGGTTCTAGTACCTGTTAAGAGACATGCAGCTGCATGTCTGTAAAAACCAAGGAATTACAATATGAGCGATTCTCTGATTCCCTCACAACTGTGGGCTGTTTTTGATTTAGATATCATAATGCCAGCTAAGGTTAATGAATGGCGCATGTTGTGTTTTTCTAATATTCGGCTATAACACAGTGTTTAAACTGAACTCTGGGAAGTCAGGCTCAATATTCTCAACAATGTTTAGAACTTAGCTGATCGTAAAGACACAATATAAAAGACAATAAACCACATTTGTTACATGATTAGTGTTTATTTAAAATACTCCATCTGCAAATGTTTTTTTTTTTCTCAATTAAAAACAAGACAAACTTCACAGCTAGAAGCCTACATAGTAAGCAAAAGAGAAGGGGAGCATCCATCAGTTTGTTTTCCCCCTCAGTATCTGTGTAGTGTGTTCCAAACCTTAGCCTGGATGGGTCCTTGGACAAGAACAACACTGGTGATCTTTTGGGGGGGGGGGGGGTGGGAATGAGGATCTAAGGAACTTAATACTGAGGCTGACCTGCATATACCCAACTTCCATATGGAGCCATTAATTTTCAAATACTGATCCAGAGTCAGTAAACAGCCTTGTTTGATCACCCGTGGTATACACAACTTAACACCAAATTGCAAATGGCACTCCTGATTTTGCTGTCACAAAACAGCTGACTGAGAAGACGTCAGCCAGCTCCCACACAGTGATAACAGCTCAGTGTCTTGTAATATGAGACATGGTGGATGTTCAATCCTGATGGACAGAAAAATGTACTCAAAACATATCGACAGTAAACATGTCTGAGTTACAGTCGCCACAGTAACTTCTGGTATTAAATCTAATTTACAACAAAGATCATTTTACATTTTTTTGTGGCTAAAGGAAAAAAAAGATACATTTGGTGAAAGTTTATATTTATATACTGTTAAGGAATCCCAGGAAATGACCAACCAACATTAACTTCACTATGCTATAGCACTCAAGCATGATTTCAATCTTCATTAACAAAAAAACCAAAAAAAACCAAAACAAAACAATTCGCCACATCTGAACAATCTAACATTTGCTGGTTTTGGTCTTTCGTGGAATACGGTGACAGTAACAACAAATATAACTCACCACTCTGTTCATCCTTTAAGGCTGCATGAAGTAATTCAAACACTTTTGTAGAAAAGAAAAAAACAGAAACTAAAGTGTATTTCAGACAGATGATGAACTCAATCATTCATGTTCAATGTGTTCTCTCAGAAGTGATAGACATGACAAATAAATAAAGGACTTGTAAAAACAACAGTCAAATGATAATGCTTCAGATAAGGTAAACACCTTTAATTTAACAATCACGCACGTCTACAGCTGTAATGTAAATTACCGTGTGGACAGGTCATACAGTGGCGGTTTGTCCTTGCCTGATAACTCTGTGGGTAATGCTTTCTGGGGTTGGCTGTGGGTTAGCTGAACTTTGGAGGTCAGAGGGCAGCAGTCTATGAGAGCACAGCATTGGAGCGTCGTATACCTATCAGGTTGTCTGCGCTGAGAGATCGCCTCATTGCGGCTCGACTGAGGTCCTTGTACTTGTCTTCACATAGTCTTGAAATGGCCTGGAGGGGCATTATCAAAGCACAATTACTCAAAAGTCACACACAGATGGACTAGATAATTTTGATTTAACCAGGTGGTTTGAATTAAAGGTATCTAATGATTAGTAAATGATAAAACAGCCTTTGTTGCACTTTAAAAATCCAGGTCATGAGCAAAAAAGCTACATACCGTATTTTCACGACCATAAGGCGCACTTAAAAGTCTTAGATTTTCTTCAAAAAGTGCGGCGCGCCCTATAGCGCGGTGCGCCCTATGTGTTGTAAGGAGGACGTAGTAGAGAACACCATGAGAACGTTAAAGGGTGAAGTGTGGGCGTTGATCGTATATACCGGGACAATCGCACATACCTGTATAAAAGAACAGGTATGTGCATTATGCAGGACATCGTTGTTTTAACAACCCTGAAAATGGCAAAGAGACACGCTTACGAAGCACAGTTTAAACTGAAGGCCATCAGCTACGCGGAGGAACATGGAAATCGAGCAGCGGCGAGAGAATTTAAGATTAACGAATCGATGGTTCGCAAATGGAGGAAGCTGGAAAACAAGCTCCGGCAGGTCAAGAAAACGCAGCTGAGTTTCCGCGGACATAAGGCGAGGTGGCCGAGTTGGAGGAAAGACTCGAGCGGTGGATCATCGAGCAAAGAACGAGCGGGAGAAGCGTTTCGACGGTCACCATTCGGCTAAAAGCAGTTTCACTTTCACTTTTTATGAAACGGTGCCATTTTTCCATCCGGACCAGGACTACGGTAGCGCAGCAACTTCCAGCGGATTATAAGGAAAAGCTGGCCATCTTCCGCTCCTACTGCAGCAAACACATCGGCGACAAAAACATCCAGCCCAGCCACATCACAAACATGGACCAGGTCCCGCTCACTTTTGACATCCCGGTGAGTCACACTGTGGAGAAGAAGGGGACCAGCACGGTAGCGATACGCACAACGGGGTATGAAAAGTCTTCTTTTACTGTTGTGCTTGGCTGCCATGCTAATGGACAGAAACTGCCGCCTATGGTGATTTTTAAGAGAAAGACTTTGCCTAAAGAGAAGTTTCCAGCAGGAATCATCATTAAGGCAAATGAAAAGGGCTGGATGGATGAGGAAATGATGAAAGAGTGGCTGAGGGAGGTGTATGTAAGGAGACCAGGTGGTTTTTTCCACGCATCACCATCGCTGTTGATCTGTGACTCTATGCGTGCCCATCTCACAGCCGATGTGAAAAAACTTGTGAAGCAAATGAACTGTGAGCTTGCTGTCATTCCGGGAGGCCTGACAAAGGAACTCCAACCGCTGGACATCGGTGTGAACCGCCCGTTCAAAGTAAGGCTGCGAGCGGCCTGGGAGCGATGGATGACCGATGGAGACCACAGTTTCACTAAGAGTGGAAGGCAGCGCCGGGCGAGTTACGCCACAATTTGCCAATGGATTGTAGATGCTTGGGCTAACATGTCTGCTGGCACTGTTGTTCGAGCTTTCGCAAAAGCCGGCATCGTTTCCGAGGAGCCGCACGGCACGGAAAGTGACTCTGACGGTGAAGACAGTGAACCTGGCATGTTTGATGGAGATTTAGCGCAGCTGTTCAATTCAGACACAGAGGATGAGGACTTCGATGGGTTTGATTGATGATAAAAATGTGAGTACCAAACTTTGTTTTGCTCCTGCTTTATTTTTAAATACGCACACTTGTATGCTTGTGTGTTGTTGATGATGACGATTACCGGCAATAGAAATGTGAGTAAGGTACCGAACTCAGGTTTGCTCCCGCTTTATTTTTAAATACGCATACGGTACTTGTATGCGCCCTATGGTCCAGTGCGCCTTATGTGTGTGTTAAATACAGTAATGGCACACATAACTGAGACTGCGCCTTTTAGTACAGTGCGTCTTATGGTCGTGAAAATACGGTAAGAAATTTCTCAGACTGTTTTCAGAGGGTGGTTCTTCCTACTGTACTAATCACTAACACTTTTATTAGTTCAATTAAATCCTGCTTGTAAATCGTGCCATAGAAACAGTTGCCAAAATAAAGAGCCTTTAACTTGAGAATACAGAGTATCCAACAGCAACTCCTAATCTGAGGCAGCGTTAGATGAGTATTACAGACGGATGTTCTGTAGTCTCTGGAAGGAAGCTTACCTCTAGTTTCTGGGCACGCTGGTTGTTGAGGGGTTCCAGTGGGAAACTGAGGTTGTTGTCATCGGCCAGCTGTCGCAGGTCAAAGTAGTACTTGGCGTAGACGCTGGCCGGCACATTGATGTTAAATTGCAGAAGTTCCAGGAAGTGGCGCTCCATCTCATTCCTAGAGATCAGGAAGACACCTTAGGGTTATTCCCAACAGTCAAAACCTGGGACGTAATTTGGACTGTAAGGTATGAATGTGTGTAAAAAAAATAGAGCCCATTTTTTCCCTAGGAAAGAACAGCCTAGTCAACCAGTCTCAAAGTTAAAAAAAGAATTGCATTTTACATAATTTGTGACATGGTAGGAGACATTTGAAAAGATTTATCAGAATCACACTTGTTTTTGCAAACTGCTTTTTGAAACTTCAAGCGGCTGGTTATGGATAGAGGTGGGCGTACTGATTCAAATATTAATAGTACTGTTGCTATTGCTGGTGGTTTTGGTATTGAATAGATACTCTGTGTCGCTTAAGTTCAGTATGTATCAACTGAATTGAGGTTTGTTTTTTTTGTTTTTTTTTTAAAATTGTAATATAATAAAGAAAAACAAAATCACAACTTATTAACCATGACAAATGTCTATTTTTTGTGTGGACTATCATGTTTATGTTATTTGTAGACTATAGCACATCTAAACAGCAGAAGCTGACAGAAGTGCTTTAAAGACAGACACATTTAAAATTCATGAAAAACTTCAGTGTGCTGTCGTTTTGATTTTTTTAATTATTGTGAAAACTGAAAATCTGTTATTTAGTGATCATTACAATTATGTTGAGAATTCACAAAAACGATGATGATTCATCCCAGAACTCATGACACGGTCTCTTCATTACATAAGCTGCCTTTATTGTATTATTGCAGCATGGTAGCACGGTGGTTAGCACTGTTGCCGCACAGCAAGAACGTCCTGAGTTCAATTCCACCATCATGCCGGGGTCTTTCTGTGTGGAGTTTGCATGTTCTCTCCGGGTAC